GGGGGGGACACACACACACATATGTGCACACAACTGAATATGGGCGAGCAGCAGCGGTACGAGGTAGCCCATGCGCCGGCGATAACAGCTGGCTTCAACTGCAGAGACATTTCTCTTCGTTTCTTTTTTATCTTATGCTCGCTTCTTTGCCAACGTCGTATGTCGGCGTGTAGCTTCTGGTGGTTTTTTGGGAGAGGCTTTCACCTCTTAACGGACTCCACTGCAAAACACACACACACACACACACAAAAGACTGACAGACAAGTAGGAACTCTTTGCGCAGGAGTAAAGAAGGTGTGCCCTTCATAGTAAAGCTTCCAGCAGTGACAAAAGAAGGAAGGAAGTAAAGAAGGCAGCAACACGAGTGATACAGTAGGGTTGATACAGACTGAAGAGGCGTACCAAACGCAAGAATAAAACGGACGCACCCGGTGGACACTTCACTTGGAGGCAGTGTTGCCGCAGCTGCTAGAACCCACAAAATATTTTCCTTCTTCATGCCCGTCTGGCCTGGGACCTTCATCCAAGCTCCTATGCGTGGCGGCATGAATGAACGGCGCGAGCCTCTCCCTGTCTGGGCTCCAAGGGTTTGGTTAGCCACGAATCAGCACGACTTTTGCCGACCCGTTATCCTAGACAACAGTAGTGTGGTGCGTCCAGCCACGGCCTACCGCGAAATGCTGCTTTCACAAATGCGCGGAAACAGCACGTTGGATGCATCGGCGCCAACTGAGCATTCAGAGGTTCGGCGCATCGGGGCAATCATTTCCGACAGTAATGACGGAAACACCAGCAGTGAAAGCGGTAATCGCCTCCTGGTGCATCGTGGGGGGGGCACAGCAGCAGACACCCCAGCAAGCGCACCGTTCAGGTATTCGTCTCTGGTCGCGGAAGGAGTCGAGCCTCAAGGGAACCTAATAGGGTACGCATACGGCGTTCCAATGCCGCCGCCGCCGCAGCAGCAGCAGCACGAGGCCCCGCAGCCTGTTTGGTATGTTGAAAGCAGCCGTTTTGTTCCGACATCACATATCGGCAGTACCGCTTTGTACGCCTCAATGTCACAACAGCAGCGCCAACACCAGCAGCAACGTCAGCTTCAGCAACATCATCACCAGCAGCAAGAAAAGCACGAAATGCGGAACAGCGAGGCTTCTGCGACGTTTTCTTCGCGTGGAGGAATGGGAGCGCATCCGCGATACGAAGACCCATACGCGCGGGGGCCCTCGAATTGCCGAGGGGCGACCCCGAACGCTGTCTACTCCATACCATTTCGGCGTGCCGCCAACGCGGCGCCGTCCGACGCACGTGCAACACATGCGGCACCCTTTTCCGTGGGTGGGGCTCCCCTTCACTTCCACCTCCACCACCACTATCACCACCGCCCGAACCCCGCGCCCACGGCACCACCACCGCAATCACCACCACAGTCACAGCCGCAGCCGCAGCCACAGCCACAGCCACACCCGCAACACCACCAGCTGGACGCGTCAGCAACAGGGCAGGCGGACAGCACACCGGCGCGACAGGTGCGCTTGCAACAGGAGGCCACGTTTTTGGGTCTATTTGAGCGCCTAGCCTACCGCTCAAACACTCGTCATCCGCGTGACGCTTCGTCAGGCACCACAAGTGGCCAGCGGCGGGGCGAAGCCATCCGCCACGATCGCGCTCATGTTCCAAACGGTGAGATGCGTTCTGCGCGTACCGTAAACTCCGCCACGCTGTCAGCGCCGCCGCTGGGTTTCTTTCGGTTACGGCCAGGGACGCCACCGCCGCCACACACCTTGGCGCGTGACGCCCACGCGCCACGAACACATACGCATTCGGCTCATGCCCGAGACTCGGCGCATATGGCGGAGGGATACATGTTCGAGGCTGCCCTTGCCCCTGACGTGGACAACATGACGTATGAAGAGTTGCTGGATTTGGCGGAGCGCATCGGACGTGTCGAGCGTGGCGTGCCACGTGAGCGGCTGCGTCAGTTGCGTGTGGTGCTGCAACCGTACCACTTTGGACCGACTTCATCATCCAGAGAAGCGGCTTTGCCACGAGCACCACCACCTCAGCGAAAGCAAAACCAATCAAACGATCCATCACAAGATGAGGATTCTATTACCTGCTGTGTTTGTCTGGATAATTTTTCTGTTGGGGATGCGGCCATGCAGCTGCCCTGCTGCCGTCATTTCCTTCACAATGGGTGCGCGGGTCGGTGGTTTGAGGCTCAGTTTCGCTGCCCAATCTGCAATCGTGATGTACGCAATACGGAATAGTTAGGTCTCCGTCGATGTACCTTGGATAGACCTGTAATAGGGCGCACTATGGTTTTCTGGCGCACTATATTATCACTTTTTTTTTTCTTTTTGCTGTTTGTAGTTGCTCTGTTTCTCCGGCGAGCCAGGCGGCAACGCGGCCCGGGTACACACTCAACCGCCTCACGAAATACGGTTGTTCTCATACCTTTTTGTTTCTCTCTCTCTCTCTCTCGCACACAGACTTATTTACGGAGTCTTTCTTGTTCTTTCCGCTGGTGTTTACAAAGGGGCACGCATGCCCTTCCCTCCTCCCCACGCCTCCCTCTACCTGGTTTTTTTTTTTTTTTNTCCTCCCCCCGCCTCCCTCTTCCTGGTTTTTTTTTTTTTTTGCGCTGGTTTTACGCATGCGTTTCTCCATTGACGCCACCGAGTCCTCAATCTCACTCACGCGCTTCCCCCATTTTCCCACTGCCACGTGGAGTGGAGAGAAAGTGAATAAACTGAAGGGTTCGAGGTGGAACGAGATGTAAAGGCACACGCATACGCACACGCATATATACATCCCAACAAGCAGTAACGTTTTGATTCTTTGTTTTGTTTTGTTTTTGCTTTGGTGGTGAGTTTCTATCTCATTCCATCCTGCTGCTCTTTCTATGACGATGTTTTGCATTTATCCTGGACATGAACCTGCCACTTCCACATCAGCTTGCTCCGTCCCCTATTCTTTCGCTGGAGTGTGTTTTCACATACGTGGCGGTTGCGGGTGCGTTTCGGCTGATGTCTGGGTATGCATGTTTACTGCCTCGAGCGTGTCTGAGTGCCGGTGAGGGAGAGACGTATCCATGCTCTGTGGTTGGCCCAGTGATGATTATTGCAGTTGTGATGCTTGTTGCTCTGTGCGTGTACGTGTGCGTTTGCGTGTCCGTTTCTCAGGGAGACGATGGAAAAAGCAAAGGGGCCATAATACGGCCATATGCAGAAAAAACAAAAACAAAGAGGACAATGCTTCTCACCATAAGAGAAAAGAAAATTGAAGTATCAAGAGAGTGAAGGTGAGGGTAGGGTGGGGGAAGGGAAGGAAGAAGTGAAAAGGAAGAGGATATGAGGACTGCGAGAAATGATGAGGGAGAAGTGTGTATATATATATATATATATATA